CAGGCTGCCTGTTAAACAACCTAGGAAGTTGTCCAAGGCAGGGATGTCTTCTTCAGTCTCTTTCGCAAAAAGATCAGCAAAAGGCATTTCACTTGTTTCTAAATTTTCAACGCACACAGAACATTTGTTTCCATCTTTTGCCACATTAGCTCTTTCTCATTTGCGCCATGTTGCAGTTAAATCCCAAATCTCACAAGTAAGATTCACGTGGGAATATTCGTGGATGTTGGGAGCACTGATTGTTCTTGTAGAGGATTTGTGTTCAGTCCCTAATACCCACAGGGTAGCTCACAACTGTCTGGAATTTCAGTTCTAGGGGTTCCAACAGCCTTCCTGTCATCTGGAGGCCACACACACACACACACACACACACACAGAGAGAGAGAGAGAGAGAGAGAGAGAGAGAGAGCACATTTATGCATACATGCATGTCATTCACACATACACATATACAAATACACATACACATATACATATCAAATATTTTTAAGAAGATCAAGAGTCATCTTGCCCATAAAAATCTTGACATGAGAGCCCTAATACATCTAGTATGTATTGTCACTGTGCATCACATGGGTATGCTACCCATGTGTCCACTGTCAGATGGGATTGAACCTAGTGTTGGGAGCCACCTGGAGGCACAGGTGGTCCTGCAGTTTGGAGGTATACCTGGCTTGGCCGCGTGGGGCTGAGCACCCTTGCCTGCACCCTTGCTTGCACATGCTCAGACCAGCAGAATGGCATTAACCAATCAGGACAGCATTCAAGCCTCTCCACCGTTTAAAAGCAGCTGCCTCGGGACTCTACTTCCTCTCTCTAAGCTTTCTCTTGTCCCTGCTCTATCTTCCCTTCCCCCAATTTTCCTCAATCAAAGGGCTCCGAATAAAGACGTGACCAGGGAAGGAATTCTCGTTTTTAGTGGCGTTCATTCCTGCCGGACAGGAAGCACGCCGCAACCCAGAACCTCATGCAGAACGATCAAATGCTCTGCCCATGAGCTACGTTCCTCCAGTGGGGACTAATATTTATGTAGAATATTTTAAGTAACAATTTGAGTTCCAGAGAAAAATTGGGCAGGAGGTACAGGGTTCCCGTAGCTGTACAGCCCATAAATGCACAGCCTCCTTGCGTCAATATCCTGAACTGAAAGAATGCGTTTGTTACATCAGTGAGTCTGCATTGGCCCTCTGTCTCCAAGGTTTGACTTTTTCCACAGTGTCACACATTTGGAATTTTACAAAACTGAGCTTTTTATAACCAGTTTTGTTCACTTACTGACACATCTTTAAGGTTCTCCCAGTCATTTCCTGGTTTGGTAGCGTTTTTCCTCCTGGGAACTGAGTTATATCCAGGGGTACCAACATTTACCAGAGAACTTATGAAAGAACACCATGGCAGTTACCAAGTGTGGGCAGTTGCCAGCTTCACAGCAGTTGCCTTGCTGTGAAGGCTCATGCAATTGTTTTCTGTGAATGTGGATGCAGATTTAAATGTCTTTGGGTAAACACCATAGCTTGTAGTTGTCAGTTCATTCAGATGTTTAGTTTTGTGCAAACTGGCCAACTGTTTTACAGAGTGGCTGTACTGGTTTATATGCTCACCAGCAGTACACATCCTTGCTAACATTTGGTGTCCGTGGTGGTTTGACTGTTGACAGAGGTCTTCTGTCCTGCCTGATCCCACAGCCATCAGTCCCAAAGAAACACACAGAGGTGTACATTAATCATAAACTGGTTGGCCTATTAGCTCAGGCTTCTTATTAACTCTTATGACTTATATTAGCCCATAATTCTTATCTCTGTTAGCCACCTGGCTTGGTGCCTTTTTTTGGCAAGGCAGTCTCATCTTGCTTCCTCTGCATCTGGGTGATGGCTTCAGACTGTCTTTCCTCTTCCCAGAATTCTCCTGCTCTCTTTGCTCCGCCTCCACTTCCTGTCTGGTTACTCCACCTCTACTTCTTCCCTGGCTACTGGCCAATCAGCATTTTATTAAACAAATCTTTACAAGGTGAAACCATTGTCTCGCAGCAGTTTGACTTTTCCTTATTACAGTAGGTGTTCTGTGCTATACTATTGTTACTTTAATCTGTAGTTCCTTAAATATGTGTGGCATTGAGCATCTTTCTATGTGTCTATTTTCTATCTCCATACTTTCCTTAGTGAAGTATCTGATCATGTCTTTTGTCTACTTTATATCAGGTCATACTGTAATGCAGAATACTTCTAAGTTTTAAAATGTCTCTTTCTGAGATATAATATGTATTCTTTTGATGTGGCGCCATCTTGTTGTGACTTCATCGTGTATCTTCTTAACCCTCTACCCTAGAACAGTCATGTTTGCCTTGGCAACATATAACCATGCTCCAGATGGATGAATCAAAATAATTAATGCTAAAAAATAATCAAAAAATGGTTTAAGTAGAAAATAATTTTTATGTTATGCCTGAAATAACTATTATGTTGTAACTAAACAAATGTTGCAAGTTTACTCTGGCCCTTATCTAATATTGATGTAATTGTGGTTTTTGCTTTTAAAGATGCTGTGCCCCTTGGCTTCAGTGCCAAGAGTCTTTGAGTCATGAGCCTGCTCTTGGTCACTGGCTAAAACTAAGGGGAACCTCACGCTCTTAATTGGCTTAGTTAGTGTGGTATCTATATTTTCTCAAATGAAATGATTTCCCTCTGGATCAGGGTGTCATCTTATGTTCATGCTCCTGAGCAATGGGGGGCACTCAGTTGGTATTCTCTTTATGTAATAGCCTTGTTTTTTTCCTTTAGAAGTTTCATCTTATCTTTTGGAGTCTAGAAGAAAAAGCAGCTTCATTGTTATTTTAAATCTAGGATCCAGACAATGCAGGGCTATTACTCAAGGGGATGTGTTCAGGGAGCACTTGCATTTTCAGACAAAATAATGCCACTATCTGCTTGTGAAATTATATTCATACTCTGAACTTTTTTCTTCTTTTCTTTTCTTTTCTTTTCTTTTCTTTTCTTTTCTTTCCCTTCTCCT